GGACATGGGATTTCAGGCTTGTCACCCTCTGACACCACTGTGGCATTCTGTCCTGGCAGAACCAGGCACTGCCCTGTGGGACCTCCCTGGTTAGGGATCTCCCCTGTTTGAGGATCTCCTGTTCAGGATCTCTCCTGTTTAGGATCTCTCCTGTTTGGGATCTCCCTTGTTTAGGATCTCACCTGTTCAGGATCTCTCCTGTTTAGGGATCTTCCCTGTTTGGGATCTCCTCTGTTTGGGATCTCGTTGTTGCATTTCAGGCTATTTTGAGGTTATTCTGGAGGATGCTTATTGTTGTGCTTCAGGGTTTGTTTATCCCTGATGTGTCTGAACTCCTGGTCAGCCATGCCGAGATAAATTTCCTATAAATCCTCTTTTACTCCTTCACTCTGCAAGATTGACTGTGGCACCCCTGAGTCCTTGGCCAGTTTGTAGTTGAGGCAGGTCTGGTGCCAAGGCTTTTGCACTTCTCAGTGCAGAGCTCAAGGAGATTGCGTCTAACTCTCTGTCTTCCCATTTCCCTTGGGACAAACAGCATTTTTAGATTTTCTTAAATGGTTTAAAGTAATTGAAGAACATTTAAAGTAATGCAGCTTTGATGCCATTGCTTTATCAACCAAGTTTGTAATGTTTTCAAGTTTAAAAAACCCAGGTAACTTTTATCTGTTTTATCATACAGATTGTTTTCTCTATTCTGTGAAATTTTAAGACTGTGGGATGACTAGATAAGGCTTTCTTTAGATATCTTTGGGGTGAAAAACATGGGCAGTCAGCTTTGGTCTTGCTTCAACTTTGCCTTGACCTGTTCCTGACCTATGTTCAGCATTAGTTTTCAATATTTTCTCAGCCATTTGCTCTTTGATTGCAACTCCCCTGGATTTGGAATTGGATGTATTTTTTGTGACAAACTGTTATGACATACACTTCTGGGTGCTTAATTTCTGTCAGATTTTGTGGGAGTCTCTCAAGGAGTTTGTTTATTTAGGCTGACTTCAAAGTGCTCTGCTATCACTGTGCTGTCATTGTGGCTTTCCTTTTCTTGGCAGTCATCAGTTGTGCTGTGAGGAAACCACTGATAGAGATTGAGGTGATAAACTGCTCCAGCTTATAACATCAACATTGCATTTTACAGTTTTTTGCCATATTTTTGCTGGTGCTTCTCTCAGACATTCCTGAAAAGATGGTATTTGGGGACTTTGAACCTCTGTTTTTACCCCCACAGGCCTGTACATCCTCCCATACTCACTAGCAGCAGTAACAGAGTGCTGTTGCCCTATAAAAAAACTCCTAATGTAAAAATATTAGTTTCAGCCTCTTTTTGTAAAAACAGAAACCAGTTCTTTATGTCAGGCTTGAAAATATATCCTCTAACATCTTTTTACTGACTTTTCCTGTTGGTTTTCTTAACCCTTTGAGGGATTTTGTTTGCATTCTCAAGCTTGTTATGCAGAAATTATGAAGATGATCCCTGGTACTTTGTGTTTTCCAACATTATGAAAAACTCAAACAGCTATTTCTTATACAGAAGTATCATGCAGTTCCCAGTAATCCACCCAGAGAACATCAAGTTACTCTTCTCTTAGGCAAATTCTCTGTGACAAAAGGTCTTGCAGCAATTAGGACCAGGGGTGGCAGTCCCATTTCTGTTGCTTTTCTCATTTTTGTTTTGGATATTGACATCTATTATATAAATTTTTTTTCCCACTCCTGAATTGCAGCCTTAATGCTCCCAGGTTTTAGGCTCATTCCACCTTGGGAATTTTGCAAGTTCCTGAAGACAGCTGTGGGCAAAGATTTAAAAAGCATAGCAATGTATTGTGCAATTTCCACTTCTAAATATTATTTATTCGAAGCCTCACTCAAGGCACTTGATTGCTTCTTTGTGCCCAGTGTATGAACTGTTCCTGTGCTTCAGAGATCCTAATTGCAATATGACATTCCCTCTTGACAAATGTGTTACAATTTATTCTTCATATTGAAATATTGATGTCCCAGAGCTGAAATTAAACCTTTGCTTGCTCAAGTGTTTCAGGACCATGCTTGTTTGATTGTTGCATTGCCTGCACAGCTTTACTTTTGCAAGTATTGTGCTAATCTTCCTGAGACTTACTTCACACTGTGCTTTTAAGTCCACTAAAAATCTTAACTTTGGCTTCCTGATAATTCTCATTAAAACTTGCTGGTTTTGCCTCTGTGTTCACTTCTTTGGACTGCCCTTTTTTCAGCTTACCACCTTTTAGGTAAGCTGAGTTTGCTGCCAAAAATGCAAACCCAGCAAATATTGCTGATAGTCTGTCCAGAAGAGGATGCAGCAGACAGGAACACCTCCATGGGAACACAAGATCCTGATTTTCTTTCCAGTGCAGCTCATCCAGTGATATCAGGTACTGGTGGAAGTAGCTGTTCATGCTCCTCGCTTCAGACAATTGAGGATGTTTAAAAACACTGGAAAAGGAAAGCTTATGGTAACAACTGGGAGGAGAAATTGCTGGCTGGTTCATTTGGCTTTGTCCTGCTTCTGACACTGGAGCTTTGATTCCAGTTAAACCTGACCCATGTTCTGAAAGAACTCAATTCATTTACTGCTATCAAAATACTAATACAATACCAATAAGAAACATCTAAAATTAAACAATGGAATCTGGACTAAACAGAGAAGAGATGAACATGGCTGCATTAGGCTATTCATAAAATGTATGTAATTTCTTCTGGCTTCAGTTGACTGCACTCAGAACTATCTTTCTTCCTTTTTTCCAACAATTTTTAAAATTTGAAACTGATATTTTGGTTTGAAGAAAGAAATTTTGCTGATTTTATGTTTTGCTGATTTCGGCCTCATAATAGGCAGTGGTACCTAATTTGCACTGGTTTTAGCAAAGCCACAGAACCCAGCTCAGCCTAATTCCCACCAGTTTGCCCATTATATGCACAGATAAGGTGATAAAAGATGTTGCCTTCTCTGTATAACAGAGGCACGTGTGTGCCCACAAAGCTGCAAAGGAGCTGAAGGAGAGGGATGGCTACCACTGAGTCACATCACTTTGTTTGTGCTGCCAGCTTTGCAAAATATCACATTTATGGCTGCGTTGGAGGGCACAGCAGTTTCTTGTTCAGACTTGAGCTCATTTTTAGTGAAGACACTTTCTCTTTGAAATGCAAGATTGAATCCTTTGGTTACTGGCACACAGAGCTTTCCCTCTGTGCTTCAAACTCACTGTGAATCCCTTCACTATCAGAGGACAGATTTTTAATGTGTCCTGTAAATTTATTGAGAACTGGTAATAATAGCTAGGATTTTGAAACTGACTTAAAAGTGTAGAAAATAAACCAAGGTACATGATGCTTTCAATTAGGTTACATTAAAAAGTATATAAATAATTGGAATTTCATATGTAATTTATTTTTGAATATGAAAATTGTAATGTTGTGATTTTCTTCATTATTTAATTGTAATGTGAGTTTTTAAGCACTGTGTCATTAGTGCTTATTTGGTGAAATGTTTATTTTTTCCATTTACTGGAAAAAAAAGTTTGAACGCTCAAGGCCAATTTTTCAGAAATCACATGTAGCAATCTCATCTTCTAATTGCATCTTTAATCTGTAATACACGTGGTTTTGCCTGTGTAAACTGTGTGTACTGGCAGACAAATTTGAATTTACAACCACATTTAAATAATGCTTGTGACTAGAACACCTGGAATATCTTACCTATTGTAAGTACATCCCATATATCCAATTTAACCTGTTGTAAATATAGACTCTATATTATTGTAACTATATTTTATGTAACTGTGTAGCCTAACCTATATATAACACTCTTAATCTGAATTAAGTCATTTTAAGGCAAATAACTAAGTATGTTTTTGAAGTTCCCAAGGCAGATGAAACTGAATTTCACTTGTCCCATGCCACGTGGTGAGCAGGGGCTCTCCCCTGGTGTCACTCCTGTCCAGATCTCCCAACAGACACCAGCAGTTCCCCGACACAAGCTTCAGGAAAAATACCTTGAGTACAAGTGATTCCACATTCTGATACTGAGGCTTGCTGAAAGCAGAGAGATGTGCTTTTGGTCAGTTTTGGGATCAGTTTGATACATCTCAGTCTGGCAAAGAGATGGGGGCAGGAAAAGGGCACGTATTGATGAAGAGGGAGGGACAGAGGGAGGGAAAAGGAGCTGAGACTTTGTAGAACTCAGTTTGCAGACAAAACTGGTGGAACAAGAAGCAAGATTACTTTATCCCAGTTCCAGTACCTCCTTTTTGATAGAGACAGCTATAAATCAGCTGGCAAATTAGCTCAGAAATGCTAACAATAACTCAAGGTTTTATAGTCCTGATCATTTTTTTGTTAATTGTTGAGTTTTTCAGGCTGCAAAAAGCTTGCAAGCAATTCCCTCCTGGACCAACTCCTCTCCCATTGCTTGGAAACTTGGTGCACTTGAACTTTCAGTTTCATCGGGATCTTCTGATGGAGGTATTTCTTTTAGTATGCTCTTAATCGGTTATTTTTAGCCATGGCTTAAAAAATTGTGATTAATTGAAGGTTTTAAGTCTGCAAAAGTTACAAACAAGGTGTGGACATATAAAGATCAATTGATTCCTACATTTGAGTCACCTTCTTATGTCTTCTTCATGAGGAAGTTAATGCCTTTAAGAATCAAGTCAACTCATGGACAAAGTTTATGACTCATTATTAAGGTCAGAGAATACCAATAATCTAAAATATGCTTCTGCACTGCTAAGTGTGAAGCTGTATTCACTATAGTGATAGCTATATCTGCTATCCCTACATGATACTTTTTAAAATTTTAGGCATTGCCTAATTTGATCACAAAGTGGGTAATACGGTGCATGGATGCTTGTAGTACAGGAGGGGCATTTATTCTCCATCTTCCTACAGCTCCTGAAACCTGTTTGTTGTTAGTGACAGCTGCAGTAATTCCTCTGATGGTTTGCAGGTGGATGCCTGAGAGCACACATGGGCCAATGAGTTCAGAGCAGATTCAGGTTGTGATGATCTAGCAGGGAGAGGAAAGCCCCAATCTAAACAAATATGAGGAGAAGCAAGTGTCTGGTGTGATCAATTGGATGTAATTTTTGGGACATCTTAGACACTGTCTGGTACCTTTTCTGTATCATTGTGGGTGTGCTGGGGCAGAGTCCATACTTGTACAAAGCTTTTTTCATGCATGATTGGAGTTCCTCTGCCACACACCCATCCCTGCTTGGATACCTCTGCTGTGTCCAATGGTAAGTGCTCTTCTCAGTTCTATGAGGAAACCCTGGACTCAAATGCAGCTCACTGGTACCTCATAGCTGTTGGTTAATTTCTGTGTCCATGTCCTCGCCTGGAACACACAGATGGTGCAGGTTTTATCAGCTTATTTCATTTTGCAAAGGCAGGACTCGCTGGAGGCTCAGAGCCCCAGGGTGTGCAGAGTGTCAATCAACAAGGTACAAAATGTTAGGGTTGGAGGCAATGCAACATAAAGTACAGCAATATAAAGTACAAAGTTTTCTTTTTTGCTGCAGAGTTGCTGCAGAATGTACTTTGAAAAGAAAATAACTTCCCCCAAGGGTAAATAATATTGGCTGCTGAAAGCCTTATTCTCAGCAAAACAACTGCTTCTAGTTACAATTATATGCATGGGGATGATGTTTTCAGCACAAAACTGTCCACTGGGCTGGTGAATAGCACGTGCAGTTTGAGATGTACACATGGACTTCATCTGTTCTTTTTCTGGCACCTTTTCCACTTACAGCTGGCAAAAACTCATGGTAACATGTACACTCTGTGGTTTGGGTGGGTCCCAGTGATTATACTGAATGGATTTCAAGCAGTGAAGGATGGCATGACCACACACCCTGAAGATGTTTCTGGCAGGCTGGTATCACCTTTCTTCAGAGCATTGGCCAAAGGAAAAGGTGAGAATTTCCTGCCATTAATAGTGTAAAAGAATGTTGACTTGAAAACTGCTCTGCCTTGTTAGACTCTGCCATCCCATTCAGAATGATCTTCCATCAGATACTGGTCAAGTCCTCCACTGGCTTTTTGAGATTATCTTGCTGTTTGCCATGGTGCCTTTTGCACTGAGCTTTCCCTAGCCTAGAAAACACTCCACATTGTTTTTTGTGACCTTTTTGTTGTATTCAAGATGTTTGTTTGTGATCCAGCCCAGAACCCAGAAATCTTGCCCTCATTACAGACTAATCCATTGTGGTACCCATGGTTTTGCTGTACATCACATGAATGCAGTGCTTGTTTGGTAACTGCATATATTATGGTTGCCAAACACTTTCCATCATGAGCAAGAGACCTACAAACCCCTACTTCAGAATTCACATTTCTGTACTTACAGACACCCCCACACATTTTGTGAATACCTTTTGATTGTGAGAGTGCCTCCAGTACAGGAAAACCCACTTCTTCTTAGAGTGTTCCAGCAGTTTGCAGCATTTTTTCCTCTCCCTGCAGTTGCTAGACCAAAGCAGACACAGATTGTTTAAAGCTGGTTGAAGCTTCACCTCCACAGAAGTAGTTCAGGGCTCAACAGGTGACCAGGAGTGCAATCTAACAATTAATGGAGTGTTATCTCTTCCAGGGTAGAAACAGAGCCCAAATGTCTCTTATCTTTCACTTTCATCACCTCAACCTACAACCATCACATTAATTGATCTATATCATCACAAACATACCCTGTCCTGAACTCTACTCTGTGGAAATTCCTCCAGTTATTCCTGTCTTGAGTTTGATTACTTGAGTATGGCTAAAGCAGATTTCCTAAAAAGGCATCTTAAGGTTTTTCAGAGTTTTTTAAGACATCAAGAAATGGCGCAGTCAGAAAATTCTTAGATTGCTCTTTTCAATGATTAATGACATTCAATATTAAGAACATGTGGTCTAGTTATAGTCTGGATATGTTTGGCTATGATTTTTTGTTACCAATAATTTCAACTAAAGATACTTGTATTCCCTGATTTATTCCATGTATTTTATAATATGTATTTAAATGAATGGTTCCATGTCTGTGGCAAATATTAACATGCCAGGGAACACCCTCAGGTATTATCCTTGCGAGTGGTCGCTCCTGGAAGCAGCAGAGACGTTTTGGAATAATGACTCTACGCAATTTGGGAATGGGGAAAAAAGGCCTGGAGCATCGAGTGCAAGAGGAGGCCTCTCACCTGGTGGAGTTTTTTGGGAACCTCAAAGGTATTTTACCTGCTAAGAAATCAGGTGCTTTTCAGTAAATGGATCCATATCTTCAGTATGCAAACTTATTTACCTTTTCTAGGGAATGTATCCAAACTTACCAAAGCACAAGAACAGATAGAGCCTAGAATCACAAGTATTTCCTTCCTATATAGCTCTTCATACATCCAGTGAAGCTGGAAACTTATGAAATTCCACCTCCATGGGTGGATAATTTGTCTGTGATATATTGTACAATGCCACAGTGCTGCTGAGCTGCACAGCCAAACCATTCTCAGGCTGCCTGCCATGGGTAACTGAACAGTATTGCAGAGCTTGGTAATTTCCTTACGTTTCAATGACACTGGGTGACCTGCATATTTTAATGTCTATCTGGATAAGGAACTATTGTCTAAGTAACTGCTGGCAAGAGAAACGAAGTAGGAGGTGGGAGGGAACTTCAGTGGATTATCAGGTTAATCCTAGAGCCCCTGATAGGATGATTTCTATCCAAATCACTTTTTATGAATACCTGTTCCATAGCTTTAGAAGAAATCATCAGAGATATGCTTTCCTGCTCACAGCTGAGACTGTGATATCTTCATTATATTTACTTTGCAGTTAGTCTCTATTCCTCTTCTTAAACCTTCCCACATTCCCCCAGGTTTTCCTTGTAATTATTTTTTTTACATTTTTGAACATGTCTGTCACTGATTTCCCTTAGTTCATGTCCAGTGCACTACTTCCTTCTGACATTCCTCACAGCTGAAGACAACAGATTTGATGTGGTACTCTAGAACAGATCTCAGCTGTACAACATTATTCACAGGAAGGGCTGTGAAATTGTTTTAGAGCTATGAAGAAACAGTTTAACAGTGTTCTCTATTTTAAGACTATGTTTTATTTTCCTTAATTCATGTTAGTGCCACATCTCTGTCTTCATTCACACTGCAGCTGATAAAGAGAACATTTTATTAAATCTTTAATAACACCAAGTCCTATCTGTATAAGGATAACCTGAAAAAAACACTGAGAGTGAATTCCAATTACTGTGTTTGCAGGAAGACCTGTGGATCCTTCTTTCCCTCTTTTCCATTCTATTTCAAATGTAATTTGTGCTGTGGTTTTTGGATATCACTTCTCTGATGAGGACAAAACCTTCCATGAACTGATCCATGCTACAGAGAAAATATTCAGGTTTGCAGGCAGCTTTGTTCATCAGGTGAGTAAATCATATGCTGATTTTTTTCTGAAATAGGTAGAAAGTAAAAGAGCAGATACAAAAATGTGTCTTCACTAAATACAGAGCAACAGGAAAATGTAGGCTGGGAGCTAAGAAGTGTCCTTGGGGAGGGACCTTATGACATCATCCTTGGTTTTAAGGCCATTTTTAAGAACTCTCTTGGGTTTTTTGCAAGCTTAAGGGCTTTAAGACCTTTAGTATTTCTGAAACTATTAACAGAAACCTCTAAATTTAATTAGAGAATAGATTTGGTAATATATTTGAATTCTGCAGTGCTGCTCTTCCCACTTCTTTTTACTTCTCGCCTTCAAAAACCTATATCATTGGATTCATTCTTCTGCTTTTTATCACTCTGCAAATCACATGGTGAAAATTTTCTTTTTTCCCTACCTCACAAATGCCAAAATATTTCTTATTAATCTATTCCTTACTGTGTTATAGCTCACCATTCACACATTGCAGAAACAATAGATACATTTTCTGACAGTCTCACAATTCAAGTTCTGTCAGAGATTATTTTGTAGCTCCTTCCCACAAAACACCATAAAGACCAACTTTGCACTTGAAGCATCTTGCAGTGCATTTGAGGTATTCCTCATGAATTAGACTTTGTGGTTTAGACCCTTAAAGAGGAACAAGCTGTGTGTTATGGGGAATGTGGATGGCATAGCATATTTAATTGGCATTTGAGTTTTATAGAAAAATCAAACTAAAATGCTGATGTGGTAGTAAAGCTATTCAACAAATCTGTCATATGAGACTAGCACTACACGAATTTCCCATAGTTAAAAATAAAAAAGTAGATTAAATTTGTGGATAACCAAAACCAGGAGACCTTAACAAACAGAGAAGGTTCAGGATATCCTGCTGCAAGAGCTTTTAAGCACTGTGGATTGGAGTCATGAGAATGGAAATAAATTGTTATACTATAAAATGAAATTACAAAGCATTGTAGGAAGTAATGAGATTAATAAGATTAATTATTCTAAGATCACTTATTATGAGTTTAGAACATTTCTGTGCAAAGGTTAAGAGGAAAGGGATTGGTGTAAACTAACAGATAACAGGAGGAAAAAGGCAAACAGGATCTTAGGGTATTTCCACCACTATTTTCCTTTTAGATCTAGGGAAGTGTTACAGCAGGTTCTGAAGTGTAATAATCTGTGAGACATATTCTAGGGTCTTGGGCATCTTTTATTGTGATTCTGAAGGGAAACAAAGGTGGAGAAGTGGTAATGAAGGAACTACAAACTGTCACTTAAAATTAGAGAGACTGTTTGTTAGGTCTGAAAGAACAAGGAGAGGAGATAGAAATGCTCTCTGCTGGGCAGGATGGAATGGCAGATGCTGCACAGACAGAACTACCCAAGACAGAGGACAGTACTTAGAGCTGACAAATGTGTGTGTAAATACAGCAATATTGTTAACCACGAGAACAATTATTGCTCCTTAGCATTCCTGAAGACTCTGACTAGGAAAACTAAATTAGTCCTCATCTTAGAGTGATACCCAGACCATAATTCCTTTTGTGAGCTCCAAAAATTCCAACAGTTACTTGAGGCTGCAGACCTGGTAATCTTAGAAGCCCCATGGTATCCAGAAAGGAAGTCCTTACATTTTTCAGTGTGTGGGAGCTGGGGTCTCCAGCTGTGCAGGAGTGAGGTTTTCACTAGCCAAGTAAACTTAGAGGCATGAGCAGAGTGTTGTCAGAATTGCCTTGATCCCTGGAACTGTGTCAAATTTCTACTAAAGCTTTTCCAAGTGATGGCAAAGGTCTGCTCAAAGCAATGCTGATTTGTTTATTCCACTATCAACACTTCTGGGCAGGACAATTCATCCTTTAGGTGTGTCTGAAAACAGCTTTGCCAGTGACAGAGAATCCATGGTGCCTCTTGTGTGTCCCTCCTGCAGATGTACGAAATCCTGCCCTGGCTGCTGTGTCACCTCCCTGGGTCTCATAAGAAAGTGTTGGCTTGCTATGATGTCCTGAGTTCTTTTGCAAGAAAGGAGATCAGAAGACATGTAGAGAGGGGGATACCAGCTGAACCACAGGATTTCATTGACTTTTACCTGGCTGAGATTGAGAAAGTAAGTGTTCATTCTGGGTGATCATGCTGTTATGAAGTATAAGGTCAAAGAGGCCATTAAATCACTCTGTGTGACCCTTCCACCATAGCTTCTTACTTTTCATAAGCTCCTTAAAATGAATGCATTATCTTGGCACTTACTAACTCACAAGTCTCAGAAAGGCATCCAGTTTTGTATTTTGGTAACATGAATGAATTACCATCAGGTATGATGGGGGGTGAACCCATGAGCTCTTATCTGCTTTCCATAAATATCCATGAGTATACTTCAACCCTGTAATAAACATGAGACAGTTTATTCCTGTAGGCTACATAGCTTTGGTAGACTGCCTCATCTTCTACAGCAAGGCTCATGTTTACAGTGGGATTAAATACACATGCAGAAATCACTGCCCTGAAATAGCAGGCATGCTTCTTTGGGATGCAGTGTGTGTGCTCTGACACTGGCTGTCCTTGTGCCACATAACTGCCTGGTTTCTCCCTTGGCAGGCAATCATTATCCCTCTGTTACCTCTAATTTCCCCACTGTTTGGGGCATGGCTGGCTCGGCCCCTATATTCAAACTGGACAGCCTAGAAAACAGTTTCACAAACAATGCCATAATCAGCATTAATCTTCTTCCCTGCCCAGGCTATTATTTTCCATGGTAGGAAGTGACTGAGCCAGAGAGGCTCTGCCAAGAGCACTTTGGTTTCCACTTCAAACTTTTCAGGAGGTAAAAGAAGCATCTCTTTCCTAGGGTAGATGAAGTTTATGTAGTTTCTACCTCTGTCATAAGCTTTCAGCTAGTCAGGCTGCTGTGTCCTCACAGTGCAGGCTCATGGGCTCTGAAAGGAGCTGATACATCATCTTACACTTAGTATCTGAGTGAGTATGACAATATTTACTAAAATAATCCTTTTAGAGGCAAAGATGCAGCTTTCTCTGTGTCAGTGGTGCAATTTATTGCCATCTGTTTGTTTGAAAATGTTTTTACTTAACGTATTTTCTCTACTTGTATTTTTATTTTATTCCCTTATTATTTAGAAGGAAATACATGGGTACCTCTTACCTATCAGTTCACATTTATCCTGAACTGAGAAAAGAGATTACTTTCAAAATGATCTGTTGGAATATTTTTATTCAGATATGTTTTCCTTTGGCATTTGCTGGCACCATCAGATACCAAGGCCAAGGAGTGACATGTTGTAGGGCACTTGCTTATAAGTGCACTCTAGGCCAACTGCAAACTTGTAGTGTGCTCTGAAGTTTCTGTGATTAAGTCATCAAGCATAGAATTGCCTTTTTGTGATGAAAGAATAATCCACCTTGTGAAAGAGAGCAATGCAGACTTACTGTGCCTATTTGTGAAATTACTAAACTCTTCGTACGCACCAAAAACTGTAATTTTGACTATTCTTTATGCACATGCCAGCTGTGGAAGTCTCACAGCTCTCACACAGAGGGCATACAGGATAACCAAATTTTCATGCTTTAACTTCAACTTTTATCACCATCTACAGTCTAAAGAGGGGGCCAAGCCCAAGTATGATGAAGAGAATTTGGTATATGTCATAAATGATCTTTTCCTTGGTGGATCAGAGACCTCAAGCACTACATTGTACTGGGGACTGCTCTATATGGTGGTGAATCCAGACATCCAAGGTGAGAGTGGTGGGGTTTTTCTGTTTATTTTTATTATTCTATACTAAACTCAGGCATTAAATAACACTAAATCACAGGGTATAAATCTAATGTACAATGTTGAAATAATACATTTTTTTATTGCTCCAAGAAAAGTGACTGGCTAAAGTATTTTTTCTCCTCTGAAGTGGTGAATATTTCTCCGCAGCAAAAGTGCAGAAGGAGCTGGATGCTGTCCTGGGTCCTTCCCAGTTAATTTGTTATGAGGATCGGAGAAAGCTGCCCTACACAAACGCTGTGGTTCATGAGGTTCAGCGCTTCAGCAACATTGTCTTTGTTGGTGTCCCCAGACTGTGTGTGAGGAACACAACTCTGCTGGGATTCCCTGTCAAAAAGGTACAGAAACACTCTTCTGCTTCTGCTCTTCTTCAGCAGAGAGGCAATTCAGTTTTGTAACTAGTTTTCCATCTATAAACTACTCTCCATTAAACTCTGGAATGTGGTGCCTGGGGAAGAGTTACTATCTATGGCACCAGGAATGAAAGAAGTCTTTTACGTAGCATGAAGGTGCTCACACAGCTGATAAGGTCTCTGCCAGGGACACCTCAAGCTCCTGCCCATCACAACTGCAGAAACCAGCCCTGCTTGGCAGGGGATGGACTGAGAGGAGAAACTTGATTGCCACAGCACTGGTTAAGACATCCCTGCCCAGCCTGGCACTTGCCCAAATGCCAACAAGAAAGAGTTTTATCCATCAGGCTTAAACTGGTGGGTGACAGGCACTAGTAGTAGGACTGAAGCAACAGTTTCTTCTTTGCAGGGCACCATTGTCATCCCAAATATAGCATCTGTTCTGTATGACCCTGAGCAGTGGGAGACACCTCGGCAGTTCAACCCTGGCCATTTTCTGGATAAAGAGGGAAACTTTTTACCTCGAGAAGCTTTCTTGCCATTCTCAGCAGGTAAATGCATTGACAGTTTGAACTGACCCAGCAGATGAGATGATGAATGTAGAAGTATGAGATCATGGTATTTCCTCGGATAACATCTTCTGTCTCTGATGTTTATGCTTTTAAAGAACATTCCTGGCTTGTTTCTGTCTGAGAGAGTTCTGTGCTGTCAGACCCCAAAGCGTTCATAGGGCACTGGTGGGAATCCCCCTCAAACTCCTGAACCTCTCAGGCTGGCTGCATGCTGCAGTCATACACAAGTTTGTCTGTAGTATTCTTTACACCTAGCTATTTTCCTGAGAAGTAATTTGTCCTGTGCGTACTGGAGTTATTGCAATCCCTTTTAAAGAAACAAGCTGAAAGAGAAGCAGAAGGCATTGTGATAAACACAGGATTACGTTCTTGCTTACAGAACTGAAAATCCAGATGCAAAAGAAGGAAACAAGGTAACAATGCACAGACAGTAATCACACCTAGCAGTAAAGCTCCTGCTGACAGTTTTTAGTTTGTGGATGGTCACTTAAATGCCCACACAGAAGTGGTTTCTTAATTCAAATAGCTTTTTCTTTCCTTATATTTGTCTGCTATCTGTAAATGTGTATGTAATATTCACCTTTTCTGCTCACACCATTGGTGCCAAGGAATGGGAATCCTGGGAAATGAACAGTAGGCCTCATGCTTTGCCTATAAAGTGACCAAGCCTCTGTTCAACTGCAAATGCCACTACTAAGTAATTTTGCTCTGCTGATGTTAACTCACTAAAGCATGTGCAAACAGCTGGCAGATTTTTTGTGTGTGGTCCTGAAGTTCAACATCTTCTGTAAAAGCAAAATAGGGTTTTTTTCTGTCAGGTCAGAAAGAAATTATGCTGGCACCTCATGGGTTTTCACTGAAATTTTCATTTTGCGTCTCCTAACCTAGGACATTGGATGGGATCTTTTTGAAAAGGAATTCACATAGCTTTAGTTCTGTGACTTTCACATTGTTCTCCTTGAACAAAAAACCAAAACCCACCTCTGCTTTCAACAGGAATGAACTGAGTGATTATGAAACTGAAAAATTCCTAGACACTCACTGTCCTCTCCTCTTCCCTCTGCAGGGCACCGGGTGTGTTTGGGGGAGCACTTAGCCAGGACCGAGCTGTTCATTTTCTTTGCCAGCCTGCTGCGGGCGTTCACCTTCCGCCTGCCCGAGGGAGTGACCGCGGTCAGCACGGAGCCCGTCCTGGGGGGCACTCTGCAGCCCCAGCCCTACAGGCTCTGTGCCATCCCATGCTAGGCCAGTATGGCACCGCCACCTTTACCTCCGTCATCCCTAATAATACGGTTTAGGTTTTGAAATCAGGTTGCAGGTGTCTGTTCCAGGCAAATATGTGCAACTGGGTGTGTTACTTTTTTAATCACTGTGATTGCTTCAGCTAAAATGAGTTCGTGTCGCAGAACTGCAGAAGGGCTGCTTTGTTTTATATTTGCAGGATAGCAGGAGTGTGTGAATCCAGAAAGCCTAAAATATTTAATTTTGATTGATATGAAAGAGCTGCCTAACATACGGTGCTCAGCTCTGCTAAGTTAAGGTACAGGAAAGCACTGGCAGGTTGTCTGCCACCCAGATCCTCTGCTGATGTTTTTCTTGTGCTTTTCTTTCTCTTTCATGATGGGCCTCTCATGGGTAGCAATATTAGTGCCACAGCCATAAGCAGGACAAATGCCAAACTCCAGGGAAGCTATTTATCCTGGCAAAAGGAAAAAGCAGGCACTGGAGACAAAGACAGCCTTGTGTAAAAGTTGGTAGATGCTGCATCCATCCAGAAATTAAAATCAAGGGTTGATTTTTTTTTCACTTCTGTTCTAATAAGTTGTTTGAACTGTTTTGTTTCAAAGGCCAAGGCAAAACTGAACCTGTGGAGGCTTCATGGAATGACCCAGTGAATCATTGGTGTGTAGTGGGGGAACCTGACATCTGTGGGATTACATTTTGAAAAAAAATTATCTGGTGCACCAGCCTATGCATTTGGGGAAACTATTCCTGTATTTGAGGAAGTTTAGAAACTCTTGAACAAACAAGAGGTGAAAGAACAGGAAATTTTTGCTGTCTCTCTGGCAGGTGACAAGTACAACAAAAAGGGAGATGAGTCAAAAGAGCCAGAGGGGGTTGCACTGCACATGCTGTGTTGGTAATCTGAGCCTCATCACAGGATTTGTACTAAACATCTCTTTCTGTTCAAAAAGCAATTGGATATATCTTCAGCAGGAAAATTACTTTAGGCTTGTTTAATAAGCATACAGTGTTTGGCGTTTGTACTGTTCTTACACACTTTTCTAAGGCACCTGCAATCTTATGCTGTGAGAACATGAGACTGGCTGAACTTTCACCTGACACACCATGGCTGTGTTTGAGCTCTGTAACTGAATTAAAATAGTTTCATATTAATCTTCATCTTGCATATGTATTGTCATTATTATGTCACACTCATATTTTCCATTTGAATAACTTCATCTTACTTTCAGACAGCACCCTGACCAAGTGCCTGCTGAGACATAACTTGGGAAACTAGAACAAGATGCTTATCCAAGCAATCGTAATCCTGGAGTATGAGCCAAAGTGCACTAAATGCTATTCACTTCCCTTTGATTAAAAGTTTTGTCTCTGGCAAAATTTGCCTTAATTCATTTGCCAAATGCCTTCAGGTGAGAAAAATGTACTGTGAACAGGAAATCTGATTTTCTTCATTACTAAAATGAAATTTCATGTTTAAAAAAGACAGATAATATGCTAGTTGAATTGGAGTTACACACTTCCTTTACCACATTGTTGAGGAGCCATTTGTCATCGTGTGTGAGATCTGCATTTAAGTCCATGCTGTAAGGGCAGCCTTGAACTGGGAACAGTGGGTAACCCAAGACATGGAAATCCCTCCCCATAAAATCCTTGTGCTGAAATGTTATCTTCTCACTTCTTTTTTGTCTTCATTATATTTATATTATCTCATTATATTTGTAATCGTGAAATGTTACATTAATAACATTTGCAGCTGAATTAAATTGAAAGTAACAACAAACTCGAGGGTCACCTAAGAACAGATTTATGGATATTTGTAGACAGTTGAGTTTCAACATGTGTAAAATACAGTTGATGTACCTTCAAAAATCAATGTGAACTCAAATAGTCAGTGGAAGGGAGAGAGAAAGAGAGGTGCAGGGCTGCATATGCACTGCAGAATAAAACAAGGGCAACCTTTTTAAAGTAGAACTGTATAAGGAATACTGTGTTTACTTTGGGTGTTTGTTACAGTCAATGATATAAGCCAGGCAAATAAGATAACCCTTGTCACACAGTGATTGGAGCACAAGAGATGTCAAACAAGGGGTCTGAAGGACAGCTTTGCCATTTCACTAAAAACATGAGTAAGGCAGTTTGGTGTGTAAATCAAATGGTGGGAGATATAAGCACCACTATTTGAATCAGCAAGTCGCATTGTTAGAGTTGTAAATAAAACTTGTACCTAGGAAAAAGTCAGCTCTTTAACCTTTTTCCAATATGCGTGGGCAAGTTTCATTTCACCCTTGTCCCCCAGTCCTTTGAGATGTTTCTCCAGACTGAAATCACACTGTTAGAAATGTTTCTCATTTGTTGAGGTGAATTACACCTTACTTTTAACAGTAACTCCTGTTACTGTTACTCACCTTAGTCCGGTCTAACCACTTCTACCAAGAAGGTACTTTCTCTGAGAGGAAATCTTACAAAGCCAAGAGTTTTTGCTTGTTGGTTTGGGGATTTTTGGGGGGGTTTTGCTTGTTTGTTGTTGTGGGGCTTTTTGTTGAGTCCAAACCAGTTCACAGTCATGACTTATGGAAGAGCAGTGAGGGCTGCCTTTATGATTCTGTGGGTGTTAAGAGGGTATAGTAAAAACCCAATGCACAGGCAGCTAGCCAGTTGCAGGAAGCTTGTTCAGGGCAAGAAACACCAGTCAGAAGATGGAATGCAGCTTTATTTAGGAGCCCAAGTACCCCCAAGCATCACTCACATTACTGGCTGCATGGTACATGAAGTTCCTGGCTGACTGCAGACTAATTACAAGCCAGCAGGATTTGGGTGTCCCACCACTGAACAGCGTAAGAGGTAAGGTCCATGTAACTCACTTATCAGTGTAACCATTAACAATATGCCAATTTTTGTATCTTCATTTATCCTTCTGATAGGGCAGCCTTAACTTTCTCGTCTCATTCATCTTCCACACCCAGCAGGAATATCAGAGAGTTTAAACTTGAGTGTTTACATGTATGTTTGGCAAGAGAAGGGAAGTGGGGTAGCTGGTTCTTAAAAAGGGGTTGTGCCACAGCCTGAGGGGGAAGTTTGCTTTCAGAGCACCTCCTGGCATCTAGATCCTCCTCCTTTACTGTGTTCAGTGCTATGGCCAGCTGTGTTTTGGCTATTTTATAACATTCTGTACATGTGTGGGAAAATAAATTTCAGTTCATCTCAGTAAAATTCACAGCTGTGTCTGGAAACTCACTGAACAAGGAAAGGTATATTTGCAGGGATGGTACAAAGGAATCTAGCATTAGGCTTGACTTGATTTACCATCCTCACTGGCGATTGAGAGGAGTTGAAGAGTAGAACATGCTTTGGAATGTGACATTTTAAAATTATTCTAAACTCCTTGCAGAACTCTTAGAGAGAAAAAGGGGTTTATGGGTCTGACTGAACATAAAAATGAAGACACAGTGTAGAAAATAATTCATAGAATAAAGCATAGACAAATGTGGGCTCAATAAAACACAGGAAAAATAGTCCTAAATTATCTGGGTCATTCCCCAGGATGCTCTGAGGAGCCACTATAAATCTGTATGAATTATATGTTAAGGTGATTCCACAGAGCTCATATTAGCTGGGGAAAATCAATGGTTTTATATGCACGTGGAAACATATCTTACAGAAATGAATAAAATATTGTGGGTTTCACTATAGAATTCTCCTTGCTTCAGAGACATCCACAGGAAATAAAGCAATCAGATTTAAAAAACACAGCAGCTACAAACCCTATCTTTTAGATTGAATCAAAAGGTTTTAAAATTTCTTCTTCCTCTTCCTCCATGTACTGAGGGGAATAATTTCGATCAAATTTCCATTCAAAATAGCTTTTACAATTTCCCCCTTGTGGAAAGAGAGAAGTAAGAGCTGAGAGACTACAGTGTGCTAGGTAAGAAATAGCTGGTGGGAAAGTGTCATATATTAAACAAATTTCATCTCAGCAGCCCCTGCCCTGCTGTAGGTTCCAGAAAAGAAAAATTACAAGGAGTGAAGCGAAATGGTAGGAAGGAGAAAAACCTCTTTCCTACTGCTGGAGTAAAAGGAGTTCAGCTTTTGTCCTGATAAGCAGAGAGGACAGGGAGGGAGCAGCAAGGACTCAAGGGAGTATTCAGGAGCCCGCATTTTAATTTCCTCAGCAGCAGTGTCACAGCTGTACTGAGAAAAGGAGACTAGACCCCCCAAGCCAGCTCTTCTCCCACCACTGAAAAGAGGCTGTGCTGGCTTCAGATAGCACCACAGCCAACACAACATCTGTAGAAATTTATACAACTTGGGTATTTGAAGCAGCTAGCAGATAAATTATAAAATAATCTAAAGATGCTATGTAAATAAGGGTTATTATATGTGGAATAATGCTGTATCCGTAGCTTACTCTTGAGAAAACAAAAATCACTGCCAGAAGCCATGGAAAAAAGTGTGGATTTAGGGGAAACTTCTAAGTCTCACAGGGAATGGTGCCTTAGCCTTGTATTTCTAAATGTTGCTAATTAGTGTCCTAAAACGGAACCATCATCATTGTGTAAAAACATATCTCTTGAAAAAGTTAAGCAGTAGATCTTACAGCCAAAATATACCTTGGATACTTCAATATGTTGAGATCTTCACAGGAAAGTTTTCAGTTGTCAGGAGCTTGTATGTTTTACATATTCTTTGATAAAGAAGGAATTTTAATTGCTGCTTTTTCTGGTGTCACCAAGAGCTCTGTCCTGCAGGATGGCACAGAAGGACAGTGGTGGGGGAATGGGATTCTGTGAACTTGTCCTAAAGCTTTGATATAAGAACATCCCATGAAGTGTTCTGAATTCAGCAGATCAGCACATCTCTAAAAGAAACATCTGCCACTGGAAAATTTCCAGCTTGATCTTTTGCTATCATTCAAATCTTTTTAATTCTGCCTATGAGACAGAATGCTTTTTCAGATATGAGGAGACAGAAACTTATAAGACACTACTACTTTCTACCGCTCTTCACATTTACTTGGTTTGGAAAATCACAGATTCTGCAAACTATTGTTTGCTGAAGTCATCTGGAGTTGATGATGTATATGTTGTAATGTTGGCTGTACTCTAAACTCACCCCTCTCTTGCCTGAAGATTAAAGGCAACGCCAGCTCTGCAGTATGACAAAGACAACCTGGTCTGGGTCCTCCACGTCCTCTTTTTGGCAGGAACAGAAACCACAGCGACCACTTTGCACTGGGCACTGCTCCATATTTTGACTTATTCCAGAAAAGATGGGAGACTAATGAGGTCACATGGAAAACTGCTTGGATTGTGCTTTCTCAGAGAACACACCAAGGTCAGCACAAAGGTAAACACTGGTAAAACTGCATCCAGTTGGAAATTCATACTGCCTGTGAGCTGACAAACACACCTGATTTATTGAGCATCATGGGCTCACCCAAGCCCCTGAGCTTCCTCTTGCTGCCTTGCACCTTGGCAAGAAGTACCCACTCTTTCTTCCTTTCCCTGAGAGTCAGGATGAACACAGAGGCAGCCAGGCATGCAACAAGCCTGTGTAAGATAACTGGAGAGTGCAGTGTCTCTGCAGCTGTGCTGTGAGCACAACCAGCTCCCCAGGCCTCTCCCAGGGTGGTCCTGATGAGACAATAGTGTTGACAAACTGCACATTCACTGAGAAGGGAAACTCCCATCCTTAACATACAGCTGCAACATGGGATCAAAGGAGTACCTTCCCTACAGGCCACCACTGCCCTTCTCCAGTACAACCAGTTCCAAGCAGTGGCAGACCCTCTGAATGTCCTAGCAATTCCTGATGCTGAAGATTCTCAGAGAAAGGTTTTATTTGGGGGAGAAAATGGTACTGGCAACTCCTGGGCTTTTGAGATGTATTTTGCAATGCTTCATTGTCTTTCATAATGTTTCTGAGGAATAACAAATTCAATAGATTTGTTTTCAGTCTTCCATAATGTTCTCCCATTATTATGTCTCTCCAGTCCTGAGCCATCCATACACTTTATACCTGCAAAATCTTATTAGGACATTAGCTGAGGATGTTTTAGAGCATTAGAAGGAAACAATCAGCAGAGAATGTAATATAATTTCTGTGCAGGGTAGTTCTCTGTTTACTGTCACTGGAGTGGTTAACTGGGAATGTATTTGTGACAGCAGCAGCCCAGGGCTCTGTGTTGCAGCTAAAATGATCAGTGAGTCTGCCAAAAGGGGTGGTCCTGCCCACTTTTGTCCTTGGCCACATTCTCACTGCTCAGTGAGGCAGCAGCCAGCAGGTGAGTGCATTCAGACTGCTGAGCCAGCAGAAAACTATTACTGCAACTAAAACTGAAAGGCTTACCCTAGATCAGCCAAATGAGTCCAGGCACTTTATAGCTCTGTATTGCTGCATCCAACCCTGGTGAAAGGGAAAATGAGGGGATGGGACTCCTTGGTTTCATGGCATCTTGCTTACAGGTAGATTACAGGCTGAAACTCCATGAAACACCTTGTCCAGGATCACAGAGGAGATCTGCAGCACAGCAGGGAACTAAATCACATCTTTAAAGTCCAAGCCAATGTCCAGAGCAGGGCACCAGCCTTGTTCTCACTGTGAGAGCTGAAAAGGGACCCACCTCAGGTCACATCATCCATTCTCCTGCTCACTCTGAGCACAGTGGAAGGGACACGCTCCATTGCTGCCCAGATGCCTCTGCCTGGGACTAGATGTGGTTCATTTCCTGGGCTGTCCAAGTGCTCCAATGTGGCTAATACCTGTGGGACTGTGGATCTGGGG